TGGAACTTCATATCTTTTTCATCTGGACTCCTAATCAAGTGATTTTTGAGTGTAAGTTTATTAATTTTTCTTTGTCTATCCAACGATATGAACGGTTGCATCCAGTTTTATTTAAAAAGGCCATTTTACCCCTTGTCAAGTATCCTTGCCGCACTGATTTTAAACCCAAAAGTTAGTTTTTTTAAAACTTTAACGTTTCATAACTTCTTCATCCAGACTCCGAATCTAGTGATTCTTGAGTCTAAAGATTTATTAAGTTTTCCTTTTCTATCTAATGGTATAAACGGTTGCATCTAGTTTTGCCTTAAAAGACCATTTTACCCCTTGTAAAGTACCTTTGCCGCACTGATTTCAAACCCAAAAGTTTAATTTTATGAAACTTTGGAGTTTCATATTTTCTTCATCCGGACTCCGAATCAAGTGATTCTCGGGTCTAACTTGATTAATTTTTTTCTATCTTTCCAGTGGTGTGCTCGGTAGCACCTGATTTTATATTTTCAGAAATGAACATTTTGCCCTTGGGGCTAAATTTGTCCTGTTTTCTTTTAATTTGTTTCCACTACTTTCTTTTAAGTCCTGTGACTTCATGGGAAGTCACGTATGTGTCTTAGGAATAATGTACATTCCCAAGGATGTTGTTTCCATGTGAAAAGACTATTTTGCCCTTGGGGGCCTATTTGTTCTTTTTTTTTTTTTTTTTTTTTTTTTTTTTTTTTTTCTGATCAGTCATTTCTGCATTGTTCTCGTTGAGATCTGTGGCCTCATGGAAGGTCACTCTGGCTCTTAGATATGCACTACATCTCCAGGGTCATGTTTTCTATTTCTGCTTCCGCATTTGGATCCGTTATCGAGTCAATTTTCGGTTCATCACAGGACGCACTGGCTTGAAAAAGCTGGGCCGTCACAGACTTGACATAAATTTAAAAAGACAAAAATAACCTTATGACCATTAAATAAATATTATATAGAAATATATGTATATACACACGTTCCTCTCTTCGATGTGTGTATATATATATATAAACACATGTTCCCTGTGCCTGCCGTCCTCTCTCCCCAACTACCTTCACTGTCTGTCCAAGGCACCACCGTCCGTCCATGACGACAACTGATTTTCTGGACTTTGCGACTGAATTTGTAGGTTTTTATAGGGTCTTAAGGCTAGAATTTAGGGTCTTGTGATTGGGTTGCCGATGATCGTGATCGATTACTAAAGAGCTTGCATTGGAGAGATGAATATTTTGGATTGATTAAGCAACAAAATAGCCACATGTTCATACGCCACGTCAAGGTTGCCACCGCCGTCGGCTTATGCGCCACCTCCATCTTCTCCACCTCTGACAAAGACATTAGCGTTAATGATCTATAGCCGACCCTTCACTATCTAGAAGGGCGGCAGATTGTCGGAGGTGACCGGAGACGAGGTGGTAGCTAACCCGTTGTCCTCCATTGAAGCATGGCGATAGTAACAATCCACCTCACACCGAACGTTCCATTCCTGCTGAACAATCCTGCCATCCTCTTCCCCACCATTTAGTCGTTTCATCACTAGTTAGTTCAATCTCGCCAGTAAGAAATAAAACTCGCTGTTTCTTGTCGGTAAAAGCAACTAGCCGCTTCTCGCCGATAAAACAGCTTCAAGACAGCCGTTGGTCCTCAACGGTAAATTTTGTGGCTGCAGTTTAGACGCGTACACAGGCAAACTGCAGCTGGTTGCCGCAACTGGTTGTGATGGCCGCGGGGAGTAAAAATAGACGAAGCAAAGGTGGGGCACGCACCTTTTTTATTACCTATGTACGCTATGTTGAGGGGAATATATATATATATTTCTATGTCAGCAAAATTATTAGATTAAGATATAAGGGGCAGAATGGTAACTTCATTTTGTAGTTAACCGTTCTTTGACGTTATGGGGCTAATTGCAACACTCTTATAGTTTGGGGGTTATTTTTTAATTTGGGAGGGTTTCTTGCAATTGCCTCATAGTTGAAGGGGGTTTAATGCACTTAACCTAATAAAAAATGAAAAAAATAAAGAAAATTCTGTCATAAAAAAGAAAATACACATATATATACACACAGTTGTGTATCTATCTATATATTTTTGGATGCTCTCTCAGCTCACTCGCTTCACTGCTCAACTCTAACAGCACAAATCTTTTTACAGAATTAAAAAATGTGATTAGAAATGAGGGGGAAGTGAGGAAGGAGGAGGTGGCATGGGTGATTTTGAAAATTTTGTTTTGTTTTGTTTTGTTTTGTTTTTGTTTTTTTTTTTTTTTTTTTTTTTTTTTGATAAATAGGGCTACAGTGTGTGTCTTATATAGTAAAGGACTGTTTGGTTTCGGTTTTTATTATATTCAATTTTAGGTTTCTTTGGTTTAGCTTATCCCAATTTTATATAAATTGTGATTTATTTTATTATTGTCCCAAACAAATACAATTTTAACAAATTGGACAAAAGGGTCATTTTACATAGCTTGTATTTATAATTATTAATTTATTCAACTGAAGTGAGGGTATTATCGTCATTTTATACCACATAATGACTTATATACACCAAATTGATAATATAGGGGGGTTTAATACTACACATGGACCTTTTTGCACTATATCGATAGTAGAAGGGGATTTTTTACACTTAATCCTTAAAATTAATGTTAAAATTTATTCGTATGCATTTGCATTGTTTTGTGAATTTTTAAATTTTTATTTATTTATTGAGTTTATATTCAGTTTATAATTGGTGAGATTTCCGCTATGATAACTTTAGTTACTAAGCTGTAAATTTTATCAAAAATTCCATTATAAATTAAGAAATGGGATATTGCTAGACATTTATTCCACGTCAGATCCGGATGAAAAATGTAATGAGTATAAATGAGTTGGGTATTAGTTTCACCTAATAGCATAAGTTTTTGGATTTAATCACGAAACATACGGTTAATATCAGAGCCAGACCAATCCTTGATCTCTCGCCAAACTCCCGATCGGAACGTGTTCGGGCCCCCACTCGGATAGGCAGGGTGGCTCAAGCTGCACGTTGCGAGTTCGGGTGGGAAGAATGTTAAAGGTTTTTCCCGCATCAGATCCATATGGGAAATATAATATATCTGTATAAATGGGTTGTGTGTTAGCCCTACCCAATAGTTTATGTTTGGATCTTGAAGTATTCAACCCGTTACAGATGCCTTCTACAATACCATGAGTTATTAAGAGCTTAAATTTTTATAATACATATATATATATATATATATATATATAATATAATATAATATAATATAAATTTGAAAAAAGAGAGAGAAGATTGAAAAATAAGAATAATGAGAGAATTTGATAGAAGAAGAAGAGGAAAAAATAGAAGGAAAAGTAAGATAATTAAGAGTTTTTTTCTTTTTTATCTCGCTATACACTAGTAGAGAGGAGTCATTAGTTTTTCTAAGCTTGCAAATCCATCCATGGCTTGGATAATAGGAAGAAGAGCATAAGCAAAGGAGGTACTCAAATCAAAAGGGGGTAAAAAGATCATCTCTAAACTTATCTCTTTATTTTCTTTGTTTACTTGCATTTCCTTGATATTTTGCTATGTTGTGCTAATGGTTACATTATTGAAGCCCTCATCCTTACGGGTATGATTCTAAGATGGTAGTGGTCAGTTTTCGAAAACTACTCGTCTAGAAGCTAAAATTGTAGGGATGTGTATACTTATCTCTATGATAGAGGGAAAGCAGAAATGTAGTGGCGGATTTCCAAAAGCTTCATTGACGTGTGTTTTCAATGATAAAAATCACTCATAATACAACAAATCCTTATAGTATATGGCTATATTGAAGGTGTCGAACCTCAGAGACCGTGTTAGTAATGTCATCCTCTTATCATTTCTTTAGAAAATTATATTTTTACAAAAATTCTAAACCTTTTGTAGCATCTGCAAATGTTTTGGTTGTAATTTTTTTTTTTTTTTACATCAATGGATTCCTTTATTCCTTATATTGGCAATGTTTATATTTTGAGGGTTATTGAATACTTTATAGTGCAAAAGTAAGAAACACATATTAAAGAAAACAAATACTCCGTACCTTATATCTCACCTAAAACAACAGAGAATAAAGTTTAAGAGAATATTCAATTATTGTAAAGTTTGATCATCTTAAAAAGGCTGAGCCAAAAATGAAGAAAAATATCTCGACTCCAGTGATATTATGTCATCGGTGTTATCAACCAGTTATATTTTATCACATAAAAAAAAAAACATTTATTTAGTAGGTTCTATCACTATGTGTTAACGTCTAATTAGCTAATAATACTATGTCATAAAAAAATTACGAGCATTAAAGTATTTCTCAGAGGAGGGTAGGAGGCAATAAAAAGAAAAGAGAAAAATTAAAAACTTTTCTTCTCCAATAAATAAGGGACAAGCTACAAAATAATGTGCTCATATTCATGGGAAGGCGCAAATAAACGGGAAAGTTGATTCTACTGTAATTTAGTAGATGGAAAGCACCATATAATCCACTCAAATAAATAATTTCAATAAAATTTATTCTAATGTAATTTATTAAATTGAAAATATCAATTCAATTAAATAATTTCATTATTTTGTTTAAACACTAGACGGAATCTTGTCATATCATAAAAATAAATGAAACCTAAGTGAATAGTTCCATAAATGAAAAGAAAAAAAACTCTCTACAAACATTTAAGGCACGTTAATATTATTAGTATGTGTGTGTGTGTGTGAGTGTGTGTGTATCATAACGAGCTTAATTCGGCATTATCAATCGTATAATGGACTAATGAAGGACCTGTCTGGTTGGAAGGTTGTTTAAAGCATTTACCAGTGGAAGAGATAAAACTCTACCCATCTTACAACCGCTCAAACCCTGTCATGATATAGCTCTGCCCAAAAATAACTTGTCAACCTCTCTTTCTTTCATTTTCTCTCACCTCTTCCTTCTTCTATTTAAGGCATTTTGATACCCTCCATTCCAATACGCACCAAGGGAAGTAAAAATGGCAAAGGTATTCGCACTCGTTGCCTCCGTCCTCTGCCTCTTGGCCCTGTCTGGATTTGCCCACGCCGCTGGCAAGAAAAAAGACGGCAAGTTCACCGTCGAAGGCAAGGTTTATTGCGACCCATGCCGCGTCCAATTCGTCACCAAGATAAGTCAATTCCTCGAAGGTAATTAAAATTATTAAATTTATCATAATTATCATATTTGTCTTTATTCCATATGAATGCGGTCCATATGAATGCGGTCGGTCATGTAAATTCTTTTTCTGTTATTTCCTATCATACACCATGTTTTGTTTGATTAAATCTAATGTTTTGAAATAAATTTTAATTTCTTCATCTTATATAAGTTTTGGTAACTCATATATATATATATATATATATATATATATATCTAGATATATATATATATATAATGTAACACTATTGTTTTTCAATAAGTGCATGCAAATGCAATGAAGATATAAAAACTAATCAATACATAGAAATTTAATGCAAGGCCAGACCTTTTGCACAATTGATACGGTTGTATGGAAAATGATATTTAGGCAGAAGAATTCACAGTTTGCGTACATAGTGGGACATCCACAGATGCAAAGTGTTTGACGGAAGATCTGAACTGAAATAGCAATGTTCAAAATGTATTTATTTTTATCAGTACTTTAATTAGTAGTTGGTAATATCATGTCATCAATATTTTAGGAGTATTAAAGTATTTTTTTTCCCTCTATTGTGCAGGTGCGCATGTGGTCCTACTATGCAAAGATGAGGAGACCGGAAACGTGACATACTCAGTTAATGGGCAATCCGGAAAAGATGGAAGCTACAGTCTAAAGGTAGAAGGAGATCATGGTGACGAGATTTGTGAGGTGAAGGTGGCGACAAGCCCCCAACCTGACACCTGCGGTGAAGCCATGGATGAAACAGCCCCGGTCACCCTCACCGATAACGGCATGTCAACCGATATTCGCTACGCTAATTACATCGGCTTCATGAAGAAAGACCCTGACGCCGAGTGCCCCAAAGTGCTCGAGGAGTTGGGTATCTACGCAGATGATCCTGATGAGGAAGCGGCCCCTGAAGAACCTGAAAATTAAATTAAATAAGCTAGCCACATCATTTCCATGAATGTCATAACAACAATCCACTTCTCTTGCATGTATCAACGTGCATGTATGGCAATTTAATTGCTATATTTGCAGTTATAATGATAACAAGTACTTGAGTTAATAATTCCATTTTATTATAATGTTTTGGCCTTAATTTTTATTTTGAGGTTGACAATTAATTGGAATATACTTGAGCAATGAAGAAGTTAATCAAAAGTCTTAATTTTCATATATTATAAGGTACTATTATATATATACAAGTGTCAGAAAAAAAAAAATAAAAAAAAAATAAAATAAAAAATAAAAAAACAACAACAACAACAACCACAACGTTATATACAGAATGTGTTATGGCTCCTATTTTTTATTTATGCATATAAATCCTTGTATTATAAATTGGCCATGATAGTTAATTTTGACAATTTTTTTAATAAAATCCCTAAAATGCCCTCATTCGTTCTTCTTGTCATCAAGCGGCTTTGGCTTTTCTCTCTACCTCTGTTTTCTCTCTCTCTCTAGAATGGGTTGCCAAGAAGTTGATGATCTCGGGAATTTGGATCCATAGAGAAAGAGGAGTGGGGGTTTGAGGACCAAACAGGCGGGACGAGGGTCGTGTACTCTTAGTTTTGAGTAGGGAGAATTTGAAGGCGTTTGGTCCAATATTGTTGTCAGTTTCATTGGTATAATGGGTTTGGGTGTGATTCACCAAAGGGTTAAAGTTGAACGAAAGCGGCAAAAACAAAGAAGAGAGGATGGAAGGAGGTGGTGGTGGTGGTGGTGAGTGAAGTTAGAGAGAGAGAGAGACGAGGAGAGAGGAGGGTGGTTGAGGAGGATGAGACGCCAATGTCATTTAACTTTTGCAAAATGTGTCATATGGACATATCATTTCAGGTGAGATTTATTTGTACCAAATCAATACTTGAAGTTGTTTTGTGTCTGCAAAGAGTGATATGTAAGCATAATAGATGGGTGTTTTGTGCACTCCACTCCGTGAGTACATGGCACTTACATTTCATAAATGAAAATTTATTTTTTTTAATTATTTTTTTAAATAGACAGTTTTTTTTTTTTTTTAATCAGCATAAAATTTTTGTATGTGATATAAATACTCTATAATTCTAGAACACTATTCTTAATCCCTCCATCTCAGAATACACTTGCTAGATGGTAGGAATTGGATTGGTTGATAGTTCATTGAAATTTGGCAAATCAAAGAAAAGTTCCTCCAAAAAAAAAAAAAAAATTCAGAGACAAGCTCTACGATATGCTTAGATATATAAAGTGTTTCGTTCTTTCTCAATTTTTTTAATGAGTTACATACTGTAAGGATATAAACATAAAAGACAAAATGAGCTATTGTGCATTATATAATCATGGAAAAAAAAATAGCATCATCAAGATGAAAAGGAAAAATAATAGCATGAAGAAATAATATATTGTAAATCCGATTTGAAATAGGGAGTGCCCATCCATATGAATGAACGAATCAATACTCAAATTGAAGAGGTATTTGGTTAGCTGAGCTTGAATAAAAGTTATAAAAGGCACACACAAAATAAATTAAAACGTACAAATTTTGACCTAATAGCAAAGGTAGGAACTTAATTTTAGGGATTATTACATATAAATGATTCCCTTGAGGCTGAGTCAAAGTTTCATAGTTTCCCTAAAATGAGTTTGATTGAATTGCTGAGGTGGCACATGGAGTTTTACTGTTTAAATATTGTGTTACCTAAAATGCCCTTCCCCTTTTTTCTGTGTTGCCTAAAATACTCTTAAGGTGATCGAGCGCCCTTTTTAGCTTCGCCTTTCGCCTTTCGCCTTTCGCATATCTCTGCCCTAGTTTCAAACCCCAAATAAATCACTCTTCTTCTCCCACCGAATTTTTCATCTGTCCTCACCGATTCTTCTCTTTCCCCGCAACTGTCTAAACCCAACCTCCACTCCCAATTCCTTCGTCCATCCCTCATGGTTCGTTCTCATCTTCCACGGTGTCGCGGCTGTGATTTCCTGCGCCATGGTTCTGGGTTGCTTTTCTTTGCCGAGTTTGTGAATCGCCGTGTTCTCCAGCGATTCCGGCTGGTTTTTCTCCGGGATCGCTGTTGGGTTGCGAGTTCCTTCCGGCGAGCTTTTGAATCGCCGGTTTCTCCAGCGAATCCGGTTGGGTTCCTTCCGGCGAGTTTCTGAATCGCCATTCTTCCCGACGATTTGGGTTCTTCGCGTCGCTGTTCTCCAACGATTTCGTTGCGTCGTTCTTCTTCGGCGAGCTTGTGAGTCACGGCTGGGTTCTTCTCTGATCGCGGTAGGGTCTTTCCGGCGAGCTTGTGGGTCGCCATTCTCCGGCGATTTTTGACCGTTTTCTTCCAGCGAGCTTGTCGGCTAGCTGTTCTTTGCTTCGTTGTCTCGCCAGCAATGTTCGCTGATGTTGTGTGCCGAGATGTGTGGCCTGTCTTGAGCTGTTACAGAAAGGGGGAGAGAAAGAGAGAGCACTTGAGCTTCATGAAGTGAGGGTTAGGGTAGAGAGAGAGAGCACTTGAGCTTCATGAAGTGAGGGTTAGGGCAGAGAGAGAGAACACTTGAGCTTCACGAGTCCGGCACGAATGGAATGTGAAAAGAGGATTAGGGCTTGAAAATAGATAAGTGTAGAAAAGGGCATTTTAGGCAACACATAAAATAGGAAGAAGGGTATTTTAGGCAACAGAAATATGAAACAGTATTTTTCCATGTGCCACCTCAGCTTTTAGGTCAAACACATTTTAGAGAAATATGAAACTTTGACTCAGCCTCTAAGTAAATATGGTTCCCTAACCCCATTTATATGTAATAATCCCTTAATTTTAACCGGTGAAGACCTAATAAGTAAAACAAATAACAAATTTAAACTTGACCTAGTACAAATTTTGGTACATATTAAGTCCAATTTTATTCAATACATGGGACGATAGCATTTATACTTGAGAAAGGAATTGAGGAAAAGTATATCCTAAACATTGAATGTCTTAATTAAATTCACAATAAACCATCCAACTGCACTTATTAATCCAACAATGTAGTTTTATAATGTTCGTGCCTGCAAAAGTGAAAATAAGATATAATAATCAAAATCAATATATATATTTTATGTATTAAAGTGACTAGAATTAGTAAATCAGATTTGCAAGTCCTTCGCCTTGGTGGGAAAAGGGTCTTCTACAATTTAGCGGTAGCAAAGGTGCACCAAGCTCAATAGACTTAACGATTACAATCAATAATAATCAGCTAATCTGGTCTACTGCTCCAATAAATTCCGAAGCAAACCAAAATATAATAACTATGCTAGCCCTCATATTTTTCCAAAAAATCTTACAAAAGAAAATCAATGAACATTTTCCAAATTTTTAATTATCATCTGTAAAGATCCATCTATGTTTTTATAATTCCAAAATGCAAATTAGTGATGAAGTACAAGAAAAAGTGAAAACAAGATATCATCATCAAAATCCATAAATATACTAAAGTACTGTACTAATTATCTGACTGTAAATTACAATCAAGCAATCCTTACCTGAATTCAGAGAAATAACCCTAAGGTTGCTTCCCCTACTTTAGTTTTCCAGTATAGACATCCTTATGTAATGTTTCTTATCGGATCATTGCTAAAGTGCTTTCCAATCGGCTTAGAGACTTACTTCCGTTCATTGTTAGTGAATTTCAAAGTGCCTTTGTCACTGCTGTCACATCACTGACAATATCTTGATTTCTCATGAAATTCTTCATTATCTAAAAAACAAGCGTAAAGGTAAAAAAGCTTTTTTTGGCTTTAAAACTTGATATGAGTAAGGCTTACGATCGCATTAAATAGCCCTTCTTGTTAGCAATGCTTGCCAAATTGGGATTTCACTCTCATTAGATTAAGCTTATTTATGCTTGCATTTCTACGATATCTTATTATGTAGTAATTAATGGGAGCCCTATGGGTATGTTTAAACCTTCGCGAGGGCTTCGGCAAGGGGATCCGTTATCCCCATACTTGTTTATTTTGTGTGCAGAAGCTTTATCTTTTTCTTTGCAGGGTGCACTTCAGCATCGTGTACTTTCGGATATTCGTGTTTATCCACAGGCGCCGATTATATCCCACTTATTTTTTGCGGACGATTCGATTATTTTTTGTCAGGCATCTACTTTGGAAATTACCTTTCTTAAGAACATCCTTCAAAGGTATGAAAAGGCTTCTGGACAACAGATTAATTTTACTAAGTGTTGTATTTTTTTCTCTAAAAATACTAGTTTAGAGGTACGGCATTCAATTTGTCAGCTATTGGGAATTCAAAAGGGGGGTTTGTGTGTTAAATATTTGGGTATGCCGGCAATTATAGGCCGCTCAAAATGGGATGTTTTCCAGTACATTTCAGAACAGGTAGCTTATCGTTGTCTAAGTAAGGATTGTAATGACCCGGTCATTTGCCTCCTTTCCTTTTTCCTGAAATTTTACGAATGGATTTTTTTCGTTTAATTTTCCTTTCTGAGCTCTGTTTCATGTCGCTTAGTGTCATCTCGAGTGCTCAGAATTGGTTTCTGAGACTCTTTCATGTGAATTGACAACTTCCTTTGAGGACTGAGTCATTTTTGCATTTTTCGTTTTTCAGACACTATGCGCTATTTCGTCTTTTCCTTATTCTGTCATTTTCCCTATTTCGTCTTATCTCTGTTTGTCAGTTTTTGACACAACCTCACTTCTCATGCTTGGATTTGGTTTTTGACTTCACGTGCCTTCATCTTGAGTGGTTTCCTCAAAATACGTATCTTCACTTTTGTAAAAAAGTACTCTGGTTGTTCCCGGTGTCCATAGGGGCATGGATGCAAAGTTCTTTGAAATTATTTTCTTTTCTTGGGGTACTTTTCGTAAATATCTTTTGAAGATATTTTATTTCAGGAATTTTTAAGACAATATTTTTGGAAGATATTTTCATTTTGGACCATAAGTGCAGTTTTTACTTTTTGGAGGTGCCATTGTGCAATTAATGAAAGTTATTGCAAAATGCCTTATTTTAAGCCTGGATCCTCGTACAAGATTCATTTTCACATTTCGTCGAGTTGTGTACTCTTGGAATTTCCTCCTGAACGATGTTTTCCAGTTTCAGGGTTTTTGGCCCCGGTTAGTGCTAAACTTGTTTTGGGC